TTGTAATTAAAAATCACAAATAATGTAATACATAAAAGTATTTTAATCAAATATATTTCTTATTATAAGATAACTAATTTTTAATTAATTAATTAATTTTATTAATAATACTATTTTATTACAAAGAAGTTAATTAGCTAATTTCAATATTATTAATTTATAATCATAATTAAACTTAAATGAATTACTTTTAAAAATAATTAATAAATTTAATATTATTAATTATCTTGTTAGTATAAAATGAATTAATTAGTCACATTATGAAGTTACAAAAATATGTCCTTTTTAGTCATTTGACAGTTAATACAACCTTATAAGTTATTGGTCTACCAAATAGACAACTATTATATATCCTTATAAGTTAAGTGATTTACTGAATTTTTTATTTTCTTGGATAATCATAAAGAGTTTTGAACATAAATAATGAGTATCCAAGCCAAAGTGTAACCTAGGAAGGATCATGATACTTTGATTCAACATCAATAAATACTTTATCTCAATACTTTAGAATGATCAATTTGAATTCCATTTCTTCAACAAATGCGTTGATGCTGATCAACTAATTAGGAGATAAACTATGATTTGGAGGAAGTTTAGGGTCTTTTTATCCCCTTTGATAGCTGATTATGACTGCTAACATAGATAAAGAGTTGGGTTCTCTGATGGACCCTCCGACACTCAAGTCAGTTAAATAGTTTTTGAGATATCGAAATTAGAGAGAGTATTCTCTAGTTCAAAAAGTTTGTACCACTACTAGAAACAGGACTTTTAGCGACAGACAAATCCGTCGCTAAAAGCCGAAAATCTGTCGCTAAAAACTTTAGCGACGAAAAAAATAAAATTCCGTCGCCAAAATACCGTCCGTACACTTAGGGTAGCTAAAATGACTTTTAGCGACGGAAAATCCATCATTAAATGTCAGCGACGGAAAATTAGCGACGGTTAATCAGCCGCACTTTTTTTTTAAAAAAAGAAAAAAACAATAGCGACGAAAATTCCGTCGCTAAAAAAACAACAGCGATGGAAATTCTGTCGCCATTAACATTAGCGACGGAAAATCCGTCGCTATTGTTTTCCCCGTATCTGTTTTCCATCGCTAAAAGTGTATATAGCGACAGCTAATCCGTGGCTAAATATTTCCAATGTTTTTAAAAAAAATTATTTTGAAAATTAAAAAAACCTGTACAATAATATAATAAATTTAAAACCTTGTTCAATCAGCAGTATAATATTCATTCCCACGCATATATAACACATATTTTAATAAAAATATCCCAACATAATAAACATTGTTTATACATCACACACTATGATAAATAGTGTATATACAACACACTCATTCATTGTTTTCAAAGGTAAAAAAACAAATCAGTCCTCCTGATCATCATCATCATCCTCATCACGAGCTCCACCTTGTCCAGAAGTCCCGGCCTGTAAATATAAATCAAACATTAATAACATGGCATGACATGCAAGTATAGCAATAGGAGAGAGTATCATGGCATATTCTTATGTATTATACGCACACACACACAATTTTTGCAACAACGCATGCACACACCCTAACCCCACCCGCAATTTTCTCACCATACGCACACACACGCGTACACGCACGCGTGCACGTATAC